ACTGGTGGCACTACTTGCCAGCGCTGACAACTTGACAGTGTTGACAGGCAAGGGGGGATGCACCCATAAGTCAATATGCGGGGCTCTCTTGTCAGGAGGGGCTTGACATAGGACTGATAAGTAACTACCATTAACTTCATTAGTGATCCGAGGACACTAACCTTCCCTCCCTCCCCCTTCAACCCCTTCATAACACCTCCCTCCCCCCTTCCCCTTCTTCCCATTCCCCCCCCCCTCCCCACTCACGCTGAGAGAGAGAGAGAGAGAGAGGTCAATATCTGGTTGCCAAGGTGATGACCGTGTCCACCTCTAGGACACACCCGCACCCTGTGTACTGCTGGGAGTGTAGGGTGTAATGGGTGTACCTCTAGTATTAAGGGTGTGTAGCACCTTGTGTCTCAGTAACACGGAATACCACTAACAGGTGAAGGGTACTGAGCCTGCTGCTTGAGCATATATATATACCACAGATACGTGCTGGCAAGTGCTTTCTTGACAGAGTGTCTGACTCACTTGAAAATGAGATGCAATGAGCTCGTGGGTGACAACACCCCTACGTGCAGAGGCACGCCCATACGTACAGAGGCACGCCCATACGTGCAGAGGCACGCCCATACGTGCAGAGGCACGCCCATACGTGCAGAGGCACGCCTATACGTGCAGAGGCACGCCCATACGTGCAGAGGCACGCCCATACGTGCAGAGGCACGCCCATACGTGCAGAGGCACGCCCCACTCACTACGTTATACTCACAACACAAATATACACTCGGGGTCACACTCTCTGTAGTCAGTATTAAGTAAGCTCCATCACCACTACCATCACCGCTCCTTCCACCCCCTCACCATTATCTCCACCACTGCCACCATCACAACCACCATCACAACCACCACCATCACAACCACCACCATCACAACCACCACCATCACAACCACCACCATCACAACCACCACCATCACAACCACCACCATCACAACCACCACCATCACAACCACCACCATCACAACCACCACCATCACAACCACCACCATCAGAACCACCAACCATCATTATCACGTGGCGTGTAGGTAACAACTTCGTCTCACAAGTTACTTTGTCCAGGTTCGAATCCTGCGGAAGGGAGGATTCACTGGGTTCCTATCCTTAAATGTTCTTCCCCTGTTCATCCAGCAGCATTTGGGTACCTGGTTTTAAACCAGTTGGTGAGTGGTGTTCCAGGGAGATAAAACTAATAGAGGAGGTGGAGGAAGGTAATTACGAAGGAGAGGTAATGGGTAAAGGGAATTTAAAACCCTTCATTAATGGTATCTTGAGTTAATGTTAAGGGGTATATTAAGCTATGAAAGGGGGAAGTTCTCAGCTTGCTATCATGAGTCACAAGTCTTCTCTTGTACTCACTTGTGTAAATAAAATAATTGCCAACCACTGTAATTACTAATTACTATTACTACTACTACTTCCAATACCATTACCACCACCACCACATGCACTTCTACTTGTACAACTAGGTAGAAGAACTCTGGAAACTGTCTGCAGGTCATCCACAGGTGAACATGCAGTAGCGGGTTGCCAACACTTTACACTAGCAGGAACTAGCTAGCAAAACTTGAAGCTCCCTAAGCCTACTTACATTTCATTCTTTACCCACTAGCAACACCTTAGTATCTATGTATTCTATGTATTCTATGTATGTACGTTAGCTTAGCATTTTAAAAGCACCGAATCACCTGCTGTGGTTGAGTGATCAATAAACCCTTGAACTATATGTTTAACACATCTCTAACCCTGTCCATGGAGGACAGAAGAAAATGTATATATGTTGGTTAGCATTGTAAATGTCTGGCCACGTCTGTGGTAGAAAATAGTAATAAAAAAAAAACTTAGTTATGGTTTGTTTGTTTATACTCATTGACTGAATTTACTATCAACAAAATATACAAATTCTCAGTTCACGTCATATCTTCAGATTAAATTCAAGTCACAAATAATCAAATCCACCATTGTCTAACCATTGAAAAGGTGTGTATTAACACGATGTACTGAACGGGGTGAGAATACCTTGAGCTACCTCATCCCTTTGTGTGTATTTTACTTCAATAAACTCATTTCAATTTAAAAGGTGTCTTATTTCCGCCAACTACAAAGCACATGCTCCTGTCAGCTTACTGTCTCAAGCATATTATTGTAATTGTGTCGTTAGAACAGGCACCCATTGTACCAGGGAAGCACCACACCCATTCATACATTTAAACATCTCGTGAATGTGGCCATTTAATTATCTCAGGAGAGCGCGTTTGAACACGTTCCATCCATCAGCTGGCCTTGTGAAGGGGTGAGAGTGTTGACTAGGGGTTGGTGGGGGTGTTGGGTTATCTTGAGATGATTTCGGGGCTTTTAGTGTCCCCGCGGCCCGGTCCTCGACCAGGCCTCCACCCCCAGGAAGCAGCCCGTGACAGCTGACTAACACCCAGGTACCTATTTACTGCTAGGTAACAGGGGCATCAGGGTGAAAGAAACCCTGCCCATCGTTTCTCGCCGGCGCCCGGGATCGAACCCGGGACCACAGGTTCACGCGTCCAGTGTTCTGTCCGCTCAGCCACCGGCTCCCTCTCAGGGTGTAGAGGTGCTGACCTGGGGAGGGTGAGGGCGTGGGAGGGGGGGGGGTTTAAGATGCTGAGGTTACCTTCTGATAGGTAGGAGAGGCAGAGATGAGCTGCTATTGGTTGAAGAGAAGAACGGTGCTGTTAATACGTTGGTGGAGCGTAATTGGAAGAGCAGGTGGCGAAAGGTAACCACAGAGGAGAGGTAATAGGTAAAGGGAATTTAAAACCCTTAATTAATGGCATGGTGAGTTAATGTTAAGGGGGGGGGGGGTATTATGGGGCCTAGATTATGCCTGGGAGAAGGGGAGGGGGGGGGAGAGGTGAGAGAGGCACCACACACCTTGACATGTCACTCATGTCTACCTGGGCAAGAGCTGTGAATTATTTTCTGTCCTGTATTGTCGTCGTGTTACGGATCACATTG